AACAGCCATGGTGAATCACATATCAGATATTTTAAAGTTCGACAAGATCCGATGCAGCTTACTGAATGAAAACAGAAAGGAATTCCATTATTTAACAAAGATTAAAACTGGAGGCAATCGCACTATGGTTCTGAACAACCGAAGCCTTTGTTCACTAACTTACATAGAAGAGAATTCAATTTTTCGCGCGAGTCTTGAGAACCTGAACCAGCAGTCCGGATAACCGTTCATTAATAATCGTTGACATTTTTCAAGCACAACGTTGGAATTTCACTATCTAAACATAATTCCAAGAACCATGATACAAGACATTAGAATGACTCTGTAGTTGTTCAGGCACAGAAGCTACTTTTCTCCTTTGCTGAATTGTTCACGCATCTCGGCATAAACGCTAACGAAGTTCCCTTTTACCCCCTCTCCTTACAAGTCGCTGTGCGACTTAACAAAATTCAGATCCTTTGAAACTGCTATCGCAGTTATCTAAATAGAAACAAATATAGCAAAAACGATGGCAACAGCAAAACAAGTAGCTCAGAGAAACACCTTCGCAGTCGCAGCATTGTTTTGCGTCGGACAACGATACCGGAGATTCTTGCTCGTGATGAAAGCGCATAAAACACAAATACATACTTTTGCAAAACTGACGCTTTGAGAAACAAAAACATTGCGCCTTAACGTTTACAAATACAAAAAGTGCTTCGAAGCTGAAAATACACAGAAACTGGAAATGGAATCACTAAGTGAAACGTTTAGAAACCCTTTTAAAAACGTAGAAACTTACGCTCATCAAACTCTCTCGGCGAATGAAACGCCTGCAACCGGCAGAAGCCATTGTACATCGCAGCCGTCTCAGAGAAACTTCATCAGAATGGCAGCTGGTTCGAACTTTTTAAATAAATGAGTACAGCAACGCCGCACAAACACATTCAAACCATGAGATATTCTGTATATGTGATTTGCAGGTTTATTAAAAAATCAGATAAAAGACGAACAACAGAAATTCGAGCGAATACTGTAGCACGCATTGCCATGGTCGGAAAGAATGTTGAACATTAGATTTAAGCAGCTTCGAGCAGCTATGAAGGTAAGAGAAAGAGAGACATGAAAATTGTTACAATACCTGCTAAAACAGTGCCAAATAGAAATTAAATACTGGCATTAAAAAGTTGTGACATTCAACCTTACATTTTAGCGAAAGGTGGTGGCAAATGAACATGTTTCAAATGCAGACTCCCTAGTCTGGAAGCGGGTTCAGTGTATTGAACTAGCATATAACGTCATGCTATAGCCATCTTACAAATAAATCTACTGCACTGGAACCGTGACCTAATTCAATGAGTCTTAGTTGTATTGTAACAACTGGACTGTCCAATACGCCGTGAATTTCGATTTCAAGATAAATTTGACGCTTAAGGTAAATGGCAGCAGAACAGTGGGATAGGACGTTGTTTTGCATGTTATAGTACCTGGCTCAAACAAACACGAGAAGTCAATTTTTTCTTATTAACTGCCAATTAGATTGAGCAAGGAAGCCACAGCACTCGACTTCAATATAAAAATTCCAAAAACGGGAACAAGATTGCTGACTTGTGAATAGTTGCGAGGTCGTATTACTTCTTTGCGATTATGCTAAAGCGTTCGATGAATGTCTCAATGTTATCTGATTCAGGAGGGATTCAGCTTAAACTTCCCTTGACTAACTTGATAGTCACTCTTTCACTCACTCTTTTGGCATTTATACTTTTGAGTCAAGGAGACAGAAATATCAGACACTGTTCCCTATCTTGTGCCAACACTTTATGATCCGCAGAAAGTAATCTGAGTGCAGAGCAAAATCTGTCGAGACATTTGCCCAAAGTTATTCTTGGCCGTCTTCGAGCTCTTTGGCTGTTTATTTGGCCAGAAGTTGACAATGCGACTACCTATCTGGAAGCATTCGCAGCACGAGCGTGAACCATCGCAGCTGTCATTTGTCAGTCTGAAAAAACAGCTGTACTCTGGATTATTTCCAGACGCAAGAGTGCAGCTATTGTCGAAGAAAGCCTATTTCATCTGCTTTACTCTAGAGGGGGGTTACAGCGTTGCCCACACCGAATTTGGAGAGAAAGAGAGAGAGAGAAAATATGGGTACTTCCTTTAGGAAGTGGAACGTACTTTGTACCAGGTGCCAACTGCGGAGTATCTAATGCTAAAGAGAGATTTGGTGTGCATATCGGAGAAGACAATGAAAAATGCAAAGGTGTGACTGTGAGAAACAGCCCTAGCGATCTCAACAACGGCATGAAGTTGCTGCAATTTTGGGTAAAAAATTGAATGTCTCTTTAGAACATATTCATTGAGCATCGAAGCATGCATCAGCAAACATGGTGTAAGGAGAGTTGTACTCAAAATTCAACAATCCATCTGACAATCGTATTGTCTGACTAAAGATGCTCCATAATGGATGTTTGCTTTAAAACCTGACTGCAGACGCAACAAACGAATCAAAAAAAAGAACATAGTCCTCAGCACATACGAACGAAAGTTGTAAACAAAAAATCACATCGGTTTGAACAGATCCATGTGATGACAAGTGATGTGGAAACTAAGTAAAGGCTCCTTTAGAGGGCCTCTCTAGGCTGCTGCTGAACGTTGCTATTCCAAACGGGTTAGATTGTC